TGTGATATGTATCGCACACTGTCAGACTGTGATATGTATCGCACACTGTCAGACTGTGATATGTATCGCACACTGTCAGACTGTGATATGTATCGCACACTGTCAGACTGTGATATGTATCGCACACTGTCAGACTGTGATATGTATCGCCCACTGTCAGACTGTGATATGTATCGCACACTGTTAGACTGTGATATGTACCACACACTGTCAGACTGTGATATGTATCGCACACTGTGATATGTTACGCACACTCAGTTGTCACAGTAAGGAACAATACATTACCTTTGATTTCACCATGACCCAGTCTTCCTAATCGTCCAATGACCAATCTCCATGGTAATGCTGTTGTTGCCGTAACGCCAAGAATGAAATCCCATAGTTTGCGGATGGCATGTTTTCTCTGAGACACTTTTTTCCTTCTTTTGCTGCAATGGAACAAGGGTGAACAGAGAAAAGCATTAATCATGGTGGTTATATACGACTACCATAACACAAATGTAGTCTCGGATAACACCACTCTCCTTCAGGTGAACTCTGTATTTCCAGACATGGTATACTATTATGCAATAAATCACATTGCCTGGTGTAGGCCAGTGTGCCATTCTTGACACAAAATTTGCAGTAACAATGTTGCTAAAACATTATTTTGTCACCTAGGACACACAGACTGTCAAGTACATACATACATATATATATTTAACAAAGTTTAGCATTATAGCATTATTTTATCCTTAAATGCAAACCAGTCACTGCATACTTGCAGATGCTTAAAAACATAAATATGCATCTTCTCATACAACAGAAATATGACAGGTTCAAAACAAGCGCAAGCATTCAATGTTGAATGGTATAACTGGCATCGGTACAGCCATATTACAACATATGATATAATCACCTGTTTGGTATATCAATGTTAATCATACACGTTTCCATCATCTCTCCTCTGAGATCCGTACAGGACGCAAGCAACCACCTTTGATCATGCGACAGGCAATAACCAACAAACAGCTCCCCGCACTGTTGGACTGCTTCCCCAAACGTTTCTGTCAATTCGGTCTGTTTGTCTTTCAATGGTGCCAGTATGTATGGGGGAGTGTAAAGCTTAAATTGTAATTCTTGTGCCTGTGAAAATAATATATAATAATGCTCAGGCAATGTTGCAGGTTTGGTCTCAAAAAAAATATTAGTTCTGATCCAATACTACAAACTGATAAAATCACACATGATTAATATAATGTCTAATTTGCCCAATAATATTTCATCATTAAGCAGACATTCTAACCTCTTTTGTCTGCAGAACCAGCTCCATGTCAGCAGCCGGACCAAAACCAGTCAGGGACTTGTTAGGAAGGGTAGGAGCCATGAAACGTCGGCACTGAGTAAATACAGAAAATGCCAATCCTTTCATTTTATCTAAGCTTGTTGTTGATCGCTCCTTTCTCGCCATCTCAATTATATGTTGAAGTGGCACCACCTTTAAAGGAATTGAAAGTAGAAAATTCGTTGAATTACAGACAGGTATTTTCGCTCATACAAGCAATTACACAAACAGAAAAATGATATCCCATTTAGATAAAACACAATGTTGCACAACTTACTTGGACACTTATTGTTTTCCTGAGGTTCTCTGGTAATGTGGGTAACATCTCTGTAAAGCATCTAAGTAAACCGGTAGAAAATACAGCTTGGCAACCGTCATCGTATTCTTTTGCATATGTAAATGGATCAACTAAATACACAACTACAAATGGTGGTATTTTATCATCATCAGATTCAACGACTGCTCGTTTACAACTTTCCTTTGGCTCTGACAACCCATCATGGCTATCTCCATGGGCTAGAAAAACAAAACATTTTTCAGTTATGTTATTCTAAATTCGTTTTGTCTCAAACTTATCATGTTGTCAATTTTCTATAATTTACATAGAATTTAAAGTATCAGAAGTGGGCCGCTAAATTGAATTCTTTCAAAAACAAATTCAAACAAAAAGTCAGCAGCTAATGAGTCTTCATGGACAGGAGTGGAAGTGCCTGCAGCTGCCTTCCTTGCAAAGTCCTGAAAATCTTGTAATGACAATTTTTAATAGAATTTGGGAAGCTAAAAGAAGGTAACGACGCTTGTTTTTTGGTTTTAAAAAGTTTTTTTGTGCCAGGCGACAGTTTCGAACATTGAATGTCACTGTTGTCTCTCCTGACTTTTTTATGTATGCACAAATTGCAAGTGCTAGTGCTGACACATTGTGCATTTTTGACACAGAAGTCATATCCATGTTTGCGACTACATGACAGGGCTGTGTGGCCATCTCTCTATCGAATGGCAATTTTAATGCGCTATCCTGGCATCAACCAGGCTCGGTCGAACACAAACATCTGCGGACCTTAACCAAGGTTACCCCAAAGTCGCATTCGATAGTGAACAACTCTCAGCCAGTGGAATTGGCCTTCCCATTGAGTCTGTGGCACACTCACCCAGAGTGGGGTACACCCTTTTGATGTTCAGCCTAAGGTATGATTTGAACTTGGTCTAACAGTCATGAGTCTGATGCAACAAGCACTAGACTATCAGTGACCGGTTGTTTGTTACTTTATATTAGTATATTATTGAAGTGCATACATGCCAAATTTAGTACAAAAAATCAATCGTTCATAAATAACAGGTTTGTTTACTTTACCTGCTGAGCTGCTGAGGTTTGAGGTAGAACCTGGCATAGAGTGATGACTACTATCAACAGTACCACTGGCACCCATTCCACTACTACTGCTGTGATTACTTCCAGACATTAAACTACTTATGTGAATGGATTTTTCTGGTTTGGATGTAACAAATATGCTGCCGTCTACTGGCTCTGTTGACAAGAGAGGAGCTGAAATACAAATGATAAAGTTGTTGAAATATTCCTTGTCATCACTTGTGGATACGATCACATTGGAAATACCGATATTACTTACCAAGGTAGTGCCTGCACACTTGTGCATATAATTTCAGTTTAGCTGCATCTGGAATGGAACCTATCAACAAGAAAGAGCTTTCATTAAAATCAGTTACAATCCATTTGAATGAAGACAAAATATCCACAACCTCTCACACAAACAGTGGTTATAATAAACTCACCAAATTGAGAAAACCAGCTGTCCACTGGCTGGTCACCAATTTTCTTTACTACACTCTTGCGCACTCTCATAATGCCATCTCTAAGCACTTTAGTACATGCAGGAGCATGACGACCCAATCGACACGTCTGAAAAATACCAACAAGTAATACAATGTAATACAAGGTAAGTCTGTAAGCACCTAAAATGGAAATTCTTTCAAAATATCACTTTTAGTTGTCATGGCATGTCAAGCTACACTAAACCAGATTCTTTACAGGTCCTCAATGAAAATGGAGAAATAGCATGTTATAGCGCCCCCACGTGGCCAGTTTGAATTTTCCTCATTTTAATATGGATAACAGAAGTGAGGGTTTTTTTATCAACAGTTTAATAACTTCATTTGTTTTCATCTCAAGTTTCATTTTGAACCCAAAACTCTTAAGCACAATGACTTTGACACAGGTTTTGACGTTTAAAACAAAGCCCTGTAATTAACACATTAAGGTAGAGATGCAGGTTCGTGGGCACTTGGAAGTGAATTTTTTTTTTTTGCTTTTTATTATCCAAAGATTCTTGGATATAGACTGTAAAAATTTTGTAGAATTGTGAATAGTGGGACATATTAAAAAACGATTTTAAAATGTAGTTAGCAGGTGCAAACATTCTCTCTTTTGAATGCTTAGCAAGATTTAGCAAGGCTGTACATAAATAATAAAAAAGAAACATGGTGAAAAAAAAGAAATGACGAGATCCCTATGATATGTACCATATTAACTTTTGACAAAAGGATAATACAATTAAATTTGGAACTGTTACAGCCATTTTAATTATGAGCATTAGCAAACTTCTTACTGAGTGAATTGTTATGCAAATTAGCAATTATCTCAGCTTCTTTTAAGTGCACATCCCAGAACTTTGAAAAACAAGCAGCCTATTGGCTGAGATAGCTCCGCTGTTAGCAATGCACATTTCAATTAAAGAACTGAAGACATCATTAGAAAATGAACAATATGTATAGTATCAAAGCAATCGGACTTACAGTTTATAACAAGAAGTTGAAAATATCACTTTCTGCCAAAAATGACAAAAATATTCACCAAAATTAGAGAGTTGAAGATATCATCACGAAAGGAACAAATCTGAGAAAGGTCTACATGTAGTATCTATATATGTAATAGCAAAGCAATTGAATTTTTGATTTTTAACAAGAAGTCGAAAATATCACTTTTTACCAAAAATTCCAAAAATATTCATCAAAATTAGAGAATTGAAGATATTATCGCAAAATGAACAAATCTGAGAAAGGTCTACATGTAGTACCTATATATGTAATATCAAAGCAATCGGACTTACAGTTTTTAACAAGAAGTCGAAAATATCACTTTTTACCAAAAATGACAAAAATATTCACCAAAATTAGAGAATTGAAGATATCATCACAAAATGAACAAATCTGAGAAAGGTCTACAAGTAGTATCTATATATGTAATATCAAAGCAATTGAACTATTGGTTTTTAACAAGAAGTCGTAAATATCACTTTTTACCAAGAATGGCAAAAATATTCACCAAAATTAGAGAATTAAAGAGATCAACATGAAATGAACAAACC